GACATTTCACCTTTTTTGAAACAAGAAAACCACTCATAGACTTGAATTTTTTCTATAGCATTGTCCTTGTAAGCTGTGTTCAACATCACAACAGTTTCTCTGACATTTTTATGGAGCAGGAAACTAAATTTCACAGTCATACACTGTTATCTTAAATTTGCCATCACAAAAAACAAGGTTTGAGTGAAACTGCTTTTACGAAAAAATTCACTCTGACCAGAGAGAACCTTCCCAGGCAATGCCACTAGGTGCACTAACTCAGAGAGGTGCTCCATGTTTGCCTAGCAGGAAAAATGTGTACTATGAAAACTCCGCCCAGTAGAGCTTTTCTCCATTTGGTGGTGGTGGTATTTGCTCATATATATTGTGATAAAACCAAACCTAGGGTTTCCTAGACTGTAAATCTTTACAGAAGCAAACTTCCTCATTTTTCTCCCATGGTGGATTTGAACCTTTTGGTTGGTAGCAGAGCACTTTAACCACTGTGCCATTACGTATTCTTATATGGTGATAAATGCTATTGATAAAAGAAACTATAGAGCAGTGTAAAAGGGATTGCAAGTGCTAGGGGAGGACATTAGTTATAGTTTTTCTGCAGGTTTTTAACACCAATATTTTAATGTGAACACTATCAAACCTATAGGAAAAGCTAATGAGTTTTACTGTGAATACCAAATTCTCTATCACCTAGATTCTACAGTCAATATTTTGCTATATTTACTTTATGACTTACCTATCTTATCTCTCCAATTTTTTTTTAAAAAATGAATGTTTACAAACATTTAGAAAAGTGGAAAGAATAGTATAATAAACATCTGTATATTCTCTTAATAGAGTCAAAATCGGTAATGTTTTGTTATATTTGCTTTCTCTCTCTCTCTGGATAGATACTCATTTTTTTTCTGAACCATTTAGAAGTAAATTGCAGACTTCATTACACTTTGCCCCTAGATACATCCCTTAGGAATAAAGACATTAATTTCCCCACATAACCTCAACATTGTCATGATACCTAAGAAAATTAACTATAATTTCATATAGTCCAAAATGCAGGCTATATTAGAATTTTTTCAAAATTGGTCTCTCATATTTAAAAAAATCAGAATTCAATTGAGGTTCTCACTTTACATTTATTTCTTCAATATCTTTTACTCTAGAACAATCCCAAGAATCCTTTAAAACTTTTTATTTTAAAATACAAATGTACAGGAGGTTGCAAAGATACATTGAGATCTATATCAGATGATGTTATACAACCATAATAGGTCAGAAAACTCAAAAAGAGAAGAAAAAAAGTCTATATTTCCCCATATTTTGTGCCCTTCACCCAGTTTCTCCCAACTATTACATCTTACCTAATTATAGTAAATATCAAAACCAGAAAATTGACATTGGTATAATGTGTGCATAGGTTTATGTCATTTTATTATATGTGGAGATTTTTTTAACAACT